ACATCTATGACTTCCATTGAACCTCTATAAAACATAACAAAAATATTGGTTTTCCCTAACATTATCCAACAAACTAAAACAACACTTATGTTACATATTCATTATCAATTATCAACTATCAATGTTCACACATAAAAATTTATACATATATAAATTTATAGAAATCACAACTTCGAAATAGAATTGATAACAATTACAAAAGACCCGTTAAACAAACTATTAATTATTTATTTCATCACAACACATTTAATTCGGTGTAATTTAAACAAAATTTCAACAATTTACAAACAAATATAATTTGACAAAATCTAAAACAGACTATAACAACTACAAAATTATACATTCATACTACAAATTTCTTTGACAAATAACAATCAAACAAGTACATATATTAACAAAATAGATATACTAAAAAAACAATAAAATTCACATTTAAATGTTAAAACTAAAAAGGATATATTTACGTACAAAAAATGATAAAATCTACAAGAAAAGGATATTGCGACCACATATAAAGTATTAGAAACTTGAATGCTTGTGTTGAGAATAGTGGAGAGTTGGGAGTTGGGATGGGTATTTGGCTGCAGTTTGGGAGGGGAGAAGTGAGATGGGAAAGAAGAAGAAGGAGAAACAGAGGAAGAGAGTGTCGGTAAAGGGGGTGCGTATATAATGGCTTTTACCGATGGAATCACCGATGGAATGTATCTGTTGATATTTCCATCGGTGGCAACGCCATGTTACTGCACGGCTATCTCAGTTTGAATCCCTCAGTCATTCCGTCGGTAAAATCGTCTGAAAAAACTCTACGTCACCACATCGTTGTATCTTTCCAAACAAACTTTATAGGCCGTCGACGATTCAATTGATATATACCGACTGAAATATTCCATCGGTATATACCGTCCGGATCTCCTACAAAGTTTTGCTATCAGTATATACTGACATAATTACCGATAAAGAAATACCATCGATAATTTCATTGGTTTTCGCCGGTTTTCTGGTAATGTTCCCAAGGACACTCATCGTATAAAGATATAGAAGCTCTCGACTCCTGATTTGAATCCAGTGACATTATCATCAATGAATCATAATTCTTATTTTTACTCTGCATAGGGAAAGAAATAAATCGGTAAGAAAGGCCTTTCTACCTTAAACTGAGCCGCCACCCAATATGATCTCGATCTATTACTTCAATTCCAAATATTGAGATGGAGCATGGGGGATTTTGTTCCGAAAAAGAATGGATTCTTCTCTCCTGGTTAAGTGTCATTTTGGATGATCAATGTAATGCTCCTGCCCTAACGTTCGCAATCTTTTCACTTGTAATTTCGAGCAGTGTCAATTACTAAACATCATTGAATGTCCAACAACAAGGAGGATGAAGCTACTAGAGAAGGAAAGAAATTGGTATTGGTTTCATGTTCTTTCAAGGCTGGTCAAGAGCCTGGCACTGGCACGACTACTTCCCTCCCCTAGACGGAGACATGCTACTCTCAGCCAGGCCAAATGTTTGAAGATTATGTACAGTCTCTGGCTTGCACAGATGAAAGAGACCTCACAGTCCCGTCTCCGAAACCAAAGCCTCACCCCCGAAAACCCCGATTGAATATCATATAGATATGCTAGAAATCTACTCAGAATTAAAGGAGCCAGACATTGCAGGTCATTTAACGCATGCACGTTAGATGTTCATAAAATGCTTCATTTAACGCGTGGATCCCTTTACCCTTAGCTGGATTTTTACAGCAATGATATTATGGAATCAGGAAGTCAGCACCAGCACCAGCAACTGATGCATCATGCAGCAGAAGAGCTAGCAGCAGAAGCAGTCTCAAAAGACTATGATTTCCACACGTGATTGTTAGTTAGGAAAGTAGTTATCAGTTAGTTTTGCTGGCTAGATAGGTAGATAGTTGAAATGAAAGTGTATAAATAAAGAGTTGTGAGAAACATCACTACAAAAAAATTGAAAAATATAAATAGAAATATTGATGAAATATTTCTGTTAGTAAATTTTTGAAAAATTTTACCAATAAAAATATTCTCTTGATATATATTAAAAAAAATTTAATAAAAAAAATAAAATAAAACATAAAAATAATAACATCACATTATTTTTATTAATAAAATTACCGACGTAATAAATTATGTAATAATGGAGTTGTTCTTGATATGAGTATAACGATGCAATAAAGATCCTTGATCCTAGTACAATCACACAATGATAGAAGAATATATTCTTGGGTTTTATGGTTATGGAAACTATTGCCTACTAGTTACAAGCCTACAATTACAAGTTTACTATTGAAAGTCTATTGGTTATCAACCTGCTAGTTACAAGTCTATTGAGTTTATCCGCCTATAAGGTTATTAGCCCGTGTAAAGTTACAAACCTACCAAATTTATTAGCCTACAAGGTTATAAGCCTACTCGATAGACATGCAACCAGGTGGGTTTTGAAGACTCTGAATTGCAGTATAATTGTTCTTGATGATGATTTATTGAATGATATTCTATGTCCTCCTTTTCTGTCTAGTATCCTTCTTTAGATAGAGAAATTAAAGGTAATTGTTTTAAATAGATAAATTAAAGGTAATTTTTATTTCAATCTATATCATTCTTTGTTTTAAAGATATTGTAACATATAGATTCCTTTGTCCCTTTTAATTACCTATCTTGATTCATTCTTTATTTTAAAGATCTTATAGTATATAGAGTCCTGTTTTGCTTTCTAATTTCCCACATTGATTGATGCTCACTATACCTAGATTAATCACGCCCAAAACACAAGCCTGCTACCACTTTTGATCCACTCATATCTAAAACAACTCAATATTTACACAAGTTTTGGACGTTTACTGATCTGCAATTAGGTTTGGTACTTCATTCTTCTTGTCCCAGAATTATCCCTTCTTAGTGAATTTTTGTGCTTAACACATTAAGAGAAGGAATCTTTCCATTCAAGAAAAAAATTCACCTCGTGCCATGATTTTTTTTATTAATTGTGAATGTTCGCATTAGCTTATTTATAGCTGGACTAATCTTCTAAGACTTTGAAGTTCCCGTCCATGATCTTTGTTCGAAGAGTTCAATGCATTTTAGAAAAAATTCCTGCACTAGACCTTTCCAGTTCAATCCATCTATTTTCAAAGGCTATGCTCTCATTTGTTATGGTGATAATCTTTTTATATGCCTCTTAAGTTATTCTTCCTTGATCAATGGTAGAGATACAACTGGAAATTGAAGCTTCAGAATGCAAACCTTATGTGGAACTAGTTTATTATCCGTAGTTTATATGCCAATGATTATTTTCTAACTATTTATATATATTAGTAGTTTGTTATTTCCTAATAATATTATATATTTCCAAGTATTTTTATTAATATATCAATGTTTTTATATACAAAGTTGTGTTTGGTTTTAACTTAAAAGGGTAAATGTTCCTCTTGTCATTTTTGGCGTCCTTCAATATATTTGTGTAATTTTAAAAGAGGAGGGCAAGGCTTCCCGAATTGATGTTCAACCCACAAAAACAAGGTGCACTGTTACCATCCTACGAACGAGCTTAACATTAGATTGGTTATCTACTCTAAGTTTTGGGCTATTTTTAAAGCTTAAGAAAAGTTTTGTCAAACTTGTAATTGAACACAGATAAAAAATAAAATGTCTGGGACTTGTTACTATGTTTTTTTTTAATAGAAAGAGAATTTAATATATATATATATATATATATAAAAAGTATATTAAAAAAAATTATTAAGAAAGTAGATTATCTCGGGTTAAACCGGATTCACCCATTAAATAAGTAACCTAGTTATAGATTCCATGTTTTTTTAATAATTTTTTTTAATTATTTTTATTTAAATATATGATAACAAAAATAAATACTCATAAAATCAAGTATTAATCTAATGCCAAGATATTTATTTGATTTTGTGATAACTCTATAAAAAATGAGCTAAAAAAATTATAAAATTATAAAATTTAATTTTTAATTAATTAAAAATTAAAAATTAAAATAAATAAAAAAATTAAACAAAAATCTAAACTTGAAGGATAAAATTAAAGGGAAATATCAATAAAAACTTCAAAAAACTCTGAAATTAAAAAAAAATATTTTTTAAACATTTTAACAAACCTTCACGAAGTTAACCAAGACAAAACATTTACCCTAATCTTAAATCAATTGCATGAAAAGGTATTAAATTAAAAAAAAAATAACAAAATTTTTTTTTAAAAAATACTAGTCTAAAAGCGGACTAAGATGGGTTAATGTGAACCTTAAAATAAAAAAGCTCAGATGGATGGGCCTAGGGGAGATAGGCCTGCATGCATATGCCACTTTAATTTTTTTTTGGTTTACCTTATTTTTTATATAGAAAAAAGCAACCTACAGGTTGCCTACAATAATATATAACCTGTACCTGTCTGTTCAAAATTCAACCATTAAAGAAATAACTAAAAACTAGAAGTGTTTTTAAATCTAAAAATCAATTTTTAATTTATTTTTCTTTTAAAGACACCTGATAAACCCCTTAGAATAATTGAAAAAAAAAACAAATTTATCAACTAAAAAAAGAAAGTAAAAACACAGAACTAATCTAATGTATAATTCTTTCTCCTTATCTTTTCTTTTTAGCTAATATGAAAGTTCAAAAACATTTTAATGATATTTTTTAATAAAAAAAACATCTTAAACACTAAATTTACCTATTTTTTCGTTCAAAACTAAATCAATTAATTTTTTAAATTATTTTCCATCAACTCTCCCTCATCTCAGAGTGATACAACCAAGTCAAATCATTAACCATCTAATCTTAAATTAATCAAATTTTAAAGAATCGAATTAAAAAAATTAATTAAATAACCATAAAAAAAACCATAGAGATTGTTTTCTTTACAACCCTTTTGCTTTCGAATTTTGAGGATGAAACTTCCTTCACTAAAGAAGGTAGATATTTTGCATAAACTCTATTTCAGGTCACGATATTCTGCATTAATTGCTCTGAAAGAATTGCTTGCAAATCGCGTAATCATATTCAACTTTTTTTTTTTAATTCATCATTCATCGTTGAACAAATAACCAATAACATACACAAGAAAAGCTAGGCAGAATACAGCAGCTCCCATAACAACAACCATACGAACCCAGAGAGAGGAAATAAATGCTTTCTGCACAAATGCATCCCATGACCAGAACCACAAGATGGAGAAAATGGACCCAACAGCAGCACCGACCACAGCTTGGTTGATCGTATGAAGTCCTTGTGAGACACGTAACCATGTCTACAAAACGGGTGGTGAGATACAAACATGCGAATCATAGTCATTAAATCCGACAGAAATTTGTCCGGTCAAATAACCGGGTCATGAATTAAAATAGTTGACCTGGATAACCCGGAACAGGTCACCGAGGGGAGCTGAAGGACAATAGTGTTGATGAGGTTGAGCCCGTCAATTACGGGGGAAGAAATAAAAAGCAGCGGCAGATTGGGAACGGAAGGGAAGAGGGGATGTGGTAGTTTGCGTGGCGGCGGCGGCGGCTTGTTTTGGGAAGTCAGATTTTTCTCTTTAAATCAAATTAGTGTCGCTTACTTGTGAAAAAAAAATAGTAGGGTGTCGCCGGTAATACCGGGTCAACCCGGCATATCACC